GGTGTGGTAGCTCTCACGGCTCTTCCTATAACAACGACACATCTCTCGTGGTGTAACCCTTCCAGACTTCTGTGATGTTCCCTGTCAGCTTTTCTTCCATGGCGGTGACAGTCTTTTCATAGAGACCCTGTGTGATGAGCTTTAAAGGTCTTTCTTTATGACCCCCTTATCTAAAGGCCAAATCAAGGAAGTGTTTAGCGGCAAGGAGACCACTTTGACACGCGGGGTGGCCAGGGGTGTCGTCCAACATCAAAAGGAGTTTAAGAGGCAGTCCCTTCCTGACCAGGTACTTCCAGATTTCAGGGACAAAACATCTGATGGAACCAGTCCAGAAAAAAGGGGTCTCGTCCAGGTCTCCTTGCTGTATGACCAGTCAGGGCTAGGGGGCGTGCCGCGCTGCAGGTAAGGGCGGGCCTGCTCTAAACCCACCTGCATTTGCACAAAACAGCGCTTGACCCATCTCTTCCTCTTCAAATCCTGGTGCTCATTTCTCGTGCTAATAAATGTCCTTGGTGGCTTATTTTTACAGAATAGGACACTTCCATTTGCATTTAAAACCTGTTCAGGCAGATAACCTTTCTCAATAATTTTCTTAATGGTGTCTGGGAACTCGTCTGCTGCCTCTTGGTCAGCAGAAGCTGCTTCTCCTGTTATCCTGACATTTTTTAAGCCAAATCTCTTTCTAAAATTATCAAACCATCCTTTGCTGCCATTAAATTCTCCAGCTTTAGATCTTTCGCCTTTCTTTTGCTTCGTCATGTGATGACTTCGCTTTTTCTGAAATCCTGTTAGTCTGTGGGTGTGCCTGCCTTTTAGCAGTCCTGCACCCACATGAAAGCTGCGTTTTCAATCTGAGATAAAAGTGTTTGCAGAAAGTGCGCAGCCGTAGCCACGGCGGCGCCAACCTCCTCCCCTCTCAGTGGTCCTTGCACCAGACTCGTTATCTCAAAACGGACAGTCGCCGCCGCAGTCCTCGGTCCACGGTCCACAGTCCACGCCGGGCAGTTCAGCGTCGTCTTCTGGTGCCATGACTTTTCCCTGCTTCTTGGGAGCACGTGTAGCATCACTGGGGACACTTTGTGTGAGTCCCCTGGCGTTACTCAGTGTTGACAGTGTTGCAGTAAACACGACGAAAGCTGCATGAGAACTGGGAGAGGCGACCTCACTGCCGTGCACGCGCACTGGCGGCACGAGCTGCCGCTGCGGGTGGTTGGGGTCACTCGGCATTGTGAGCGGACCCTCGAGCGCCGTGAGCTCACGGCAGCAGCATCAGGAGGTGGCCCCCAAATGACGACAGTGGTGCCGTGTGCACTGCAGTGCGAGCTGCAGTCGATCGCCCCCATGGCTCGCAGTGCCGCTCACGCTGCGCGTGGCAGCTTAACGCAGCGTCTGCGTTTGTTTACGTCTCCACTGCACAGGGCTCCGCGTGTTGTCCGTTTGCGTAAGGTTTGATAAATTTTAACTTTTCGTAATAGAGTTGTGTATATTGTACGGTACTAAGTGATAAAATAGTCTAGTGTCTACATATATTTTGCGTCTTCATGACATACCTAACTTAGTCTAACTTGTTTCAGTATTTCTAGGCTACAAGGTTCATCTGAGGTTTTTTTTAATTGTCATAAATCTCCAAAAATATCTCCAGTGTATTTATTGAAAAACATTCGCATATTAGTGGACCCAGGCAGTTCAGCTTGTGTTGTTCAGGGGTCACCTGGACCTGTTTATTGTAACATACTCTGAATGTTGCAGATGGCTTTTTTCACTTAGAAGTAGATCTCATGCGCTCCCTTCCCGTAGGGCTGCCGTGGTCTTCCCAGCACACGTGGTGTCCGTGGTGGCACTGCAGCAGTTTTCTGGCTGTGAGGGGTACTAAAGGGGACCCAGTTCCAACGTGTGTGTGGGGGCTTCCCCGCACCAGTGGACAGTTCTCGGACACCTGCTGTGTCTGAGAATCCAGCCCAGTTCCCACGGTGTATTGGGGATGCACTCGGGGTCCCCAGGTGAAGGGCCCAGTCCTGCAAGCCCAGGTTTTCACCTGCGCTTCTGATGAACTGGTTACCAATCAGAGGTCCCCCGACCCCTCCCGGGGGAACCTCTCACAGAACTCAGGAAAACCCATTAATTCACAAATCACCTGCTTATCACCAAGGGTATCAGAGGGTACGGATCAGCAACAGTGGCTGATGAGAGACAGCGTGAGGTCTCGACACAGGAGCTGCTGTCTTTATGGAGCTTGGGGTCCCGCACGGTTGACGTGGAAGCTCCCTGAGTAAGGGCTGGCATGTCCTTTTGGGTTTCTGTGGAGGCTTCATGATGTAGTCACGGATGGCTAAATCATTGGCCGTTGGCGACTGAGTCCACCTCAAACCCCTCTCCTCTCTGTGGAAATCCAGGTGGGGCTGAAAGTCCCAGTCCCCTAACCACATGGCTGGCTCCTGCTGGCAGCCAGCCCCCCACCCTCAGGTGGGGTCCAAAGGCCACCTCGTTAACATAACAAAGACCAGTATCACTCTCTACACTCAGGAAATTCCAAGGGTTTTAGGATCTGTGAGCAGGAAACGGGGAAGGGGACAGTTTTATTACTTATAAATGATAATGTCACAGCTACAGTGAGTGTCCCTCCTGAGTCTTCATAGAGAGGTGAACTGTCATCGAAGGGACCCATGGCATTTTCTTAACTCATTATAGGTTATTTCAAACAGTTGTAAGTTAGAGAATGTAGTTTATGAGCCCCCATGTTTCCGCCACACAGCTTAACAATTATTTGTTCATGGCAGTCTTACTGTTCTGCGTCCTTTATTTCCAACCCCCATCCCAGATTGTTTTGACTCGAATCCCAGATACATCATTTCATATGCAGATATTTTGGTATGTCTCTACAGGATAAGGACTCTTTTTACAAGCACATTGCAGTCCATCTTTGTCACTGTGAGGCACCGCGTAGCAGGGACCTGTCAGCAGCTGGACGTCTTGTGTGCTCTGTGCTCACTGGGTTGGCATCCTAGGTCCTGGGTCTGTCGATACTGACCATCATCTCCTCGCTTAGCTCTGTCTACACTGGTCGTTTCTGTTGAGAAAACCTGAGCCAGCGTGTAGCCTGTGTGGTCTCACGTGGGATGTTCATGTCACGTTGGCATAAAGCCTCAACTTCATGCAAACCTCTATCAGCCTGAGGTCCCCGTGTCCCTCCCTCCCCCACTGCCTTGTAGAACTTCCCAGCGTTCAAGTCTCTGCCTGTCCTTGCAGAGGCCTTTCATACAACTTTTTAAAGGTCTTTCCATGATTTCTTCACAGTACAGTACAGAACTGAGCCTCTCTTGAGAGTTCTCGGGGGAAGCATCTCCCGGTTGTCAGGGTCTGCCTGCTTGCTCACTGGGGTGTTTGGATTCAGGTGATTGTGTTCCTGAAGAAGAAGGACAAGTTCGTCAGCCTGGTGCTCAGGCACATCGGCACCTCGGCGCTCATGGACCTGCTTCTGCGCCTGGTCAGCTGCGTGGAGCCAGCGGGGCTCCGGCAGGAAGTCCTGCATGTGAGTGGCTCTCCCCTCGCGTTCCCTCCCGCATAGTGTGTCTTGCAGACACTTGGGGCGTGTGGCGTGTGCCACAGGGGGCCAGCCAGGGTGGAGGAGCTCGGAGCACGGAGGCCCAGTGCTCCCAGCCCCCCGCCCCACGTAGTTCTCCCTTGCTGGGGCCATTGAGGTTTTGTCGAGGCTCATAATCAAGGCTGAGGCTGTGCTCTGCGCCCGTTCCACTGTCCTGCCTCTGTCCAGCTAGAGCAAAGAGCGAGCAGTCCCTCCCCTGACACGCTGAAGAAGCGGAAATGAGCATCCTCACCTCCCCCAGCGCCCCACCCTCAGAGCAGGAGTCGGTCATGTGCTGGCTCTGTGGCCAGGCCCCTTCCTGCGAGGGAAGCACTAGTTGGCAGAGTTTCACACAAAGAAGTTACAAGGATGCAGGTGGCCTGCTATTTGTCCTGGAGCATGTGCACTGCCTGCCCCGACATGTTCACAACTCCCTGAGGGCTCCCAGGGGACAGGAGGGCTCTCATCCCTGAGCAGCCCGGGAAGCCCATCCACTGGTGTCTGGGGTCTTGTGGGCCATGCAGTCCAAAATGAGGTACACCATTGCCCTCATAGCCCCATTTCCGGCTCCTGGCATCAGGTGACAGTTGTGCTTGGTGTAAGTTCATTTCTTGTCTTGCTGTGGCGAGCCTCACCGACACCTAACCACCACAGCCAGTGGGCAGCCTGCGCTGGGCTCACTGAGCCTCCCGGGGCGCGGCCACCCTGTTTCTGGATGAGGACATGTGCGGGAGGGCAGGCGAGCCCCAGTTGGCCTGGCCTACTGCCCTCAGACCCTGACAGCGTCAGGCACTCCAGGCGAGGCTGCAGGAGGGTCCTGCTGGGGGCCACCTGGAGAGACCGGCGAGGCTCGGGTGGCTCCGGGCTGCAGCCCGACCTGTCTTGCGACAGCTCATGTACCATCAGGAGTTGGCACCATTAGGACATGTGGGCAGTAGTCCCTCCTTTATAAACTCGTCAGTCTAGAATTTGGCCACTTCCTGTTCTTTCTGGTCTTGGACACATGTGTTGCCGAACCTGGCACGTAGATTCCGGCCGCTCCCGAGGGCTGCTTTCACGTAGCGGGTGTGAGCAGAGCCATCGACAGCCCTGTTTCCCTTTCAGTGGCTTGATGAAGAGAAGGTCATCCAGAGACTCGTGGAGCTGATCCATCCGAGCCAAGACGAAGACGTGAGTGTGGGGTGCAGAGCCCGCCCCCGTGCCGGAGGGGCAGGCCACCCCTCGCTCGGACGAGCACCATTGCATCCTTTTCTTCCTTTAATCAAGGGCTGACTTCTAGACTTATTTTTTTTTTTACTAAAAAATAATACGTATGTATTATAAAAATTTGAACAGAATCACATTAGTGATCTATAGCTGAGTAACAAATTATCCCAAATTAGTTATTTATAACCACAGGTATTTTTTATCTCGTTTCTATGGGTCAGGGGTCTGGACACGGCTGGGCGTGTCCTCTGACCAGGGCATCTCAGGTCACCTCAGGGTGTCTCAAGGTGTGTTCCCCGGGCAGCCAGTGCCTCAGCAGGACTGTTTCTTGAGGGCTGCTAGCCGAGGCCACCCTCAGCTCCATGCCATGGGGCCTGTCCGCAGGGCAGCTCTCAGCATGGCAGCTGCCCGCCGCCTTAGAGTAAGACGCCCACAAACCTGTGTTAGAAGTGACAGTCCTCACTGTGTCTGTATTCTGCTGCAGCCCATGCTTGAGGACAAGACACGGGATTTAGGAGGCTGTGAGCTCTGGGAGGGACCCCCCCGCACTGTGGCAGCACGTGGGGTGGTAGTGGGGCTGCCCATCTCGGCCCCTCGCCTGCCCTGTGCTCACCACCGCTGAGAGTTCAGGGCCTGTCCTCATAGGCCTTTCTCTCCTCCTGACGAAACTGAAGGCCTTGGGAACAGTGGTGCAAACTCGCGTGGGGTCTGAGCTACACCCAGGCTGCTCCCACTGGCCCTCTGTCCTGGCAGCCACGGGAGCACAGAACTCCCGGCACCCCTCCGTGGGTGCGCCTTTCCCAGCCCACAGTCAGGCGTGGGGTCCAGAGCCAGCGTGGCCGCCAGCCCTTTCCCTGGAGTAGATGTGCCCAGTGTCCCCATCACGAGGCTCCGCCGGCAGCCGGCCATGCCTGACCGGCCATCCGCCCTGCGGAGCGCCCCTGTGGGCAGTGTGCACCGGAGGCCAGCGTGCCCTTGTTTTCTCTGCAGTGACTCCTGCGTTTTCAGGTGCTCACAGGACACATTTTAAGCGTCAGTTGCTGCTTGGTCACACGTGCAGGCAGCGGTGCACGGAGCCCCTCTGCTCCTGCGGGCGGGCCGGCAGTGCAGACGTGCGTGCTGATGGAAGGGCACGCTGGCACGCCCCTGGTGAGCTGTGCACCCCCGTTTTTCTAGAGGCAGTCCAACGCTTCTCAGACTCTGTGTGACATCGTCCGCCTGGGCAGGGAGCAGGGCGGCCAGCTGCCAGAGGCTCCGGACCCCGACCCCCTCGTCACTGCGCTGGAGTCGTGAGTGCTGGCCGTGCTGCCTGCCTGCTTGGGGGCGCAGTGGAGCCACGGGGGTGTCCCCAGGGCCTGTCCTGAGCCCTGGCACACTGCTGCCCCTCAGACCTGGTCTCAGAGCGGCTGGGGCCCTGCTCACCCTGACCGCCCTGTTTCTCACGGTGAGGGGTCCTCGGGGGCTTCCAGCGGCGGCGGGTGTCTCTGGGCCCCAGGGAGGAGAGGTGGGCCAGCTGGCCATGTGCGGCTGCCCCCTGGCAGTGACTGCGCATGTCTGACAGGCAGGATTGCGTGGAGCAGCTGCTGAGGAACATGTTTGACGGCGACCAGACCGAGAGCTGCCTCGTCAGTGGGACCCAGGTGTTGCTTACCTTGTTGGAAGGTCGCCGGGCTGGGTGAGTGCCTTTCGTGACAGCCACATGTGACCCTCCAGTGGCACGTTGTTTGTGTTTTCAACTAATTTTCAGTGCAAGGGGTCATGTGGCTAGACTCTCCTGGTTGGAAAGGTAGGCGTCATAGCCACGGCCAAGTCCCCTTTGACCTTTGCCACCAGTCATGATCCCAGCTCAGCCCAAAGGCGCTCGCTGTTAGCAGTTTGTAGAATGTCTGCGGAATAGTTGTGGCTGGCGGGTGTGCTTCAGGACTGTCTGGGAGGGCGGGGTGTCTGCACGGGCCGGGACAGGGCGTGTGCGGCATGGGGTGCAGCGGTGTGTATTTGTGTGTACGCCTGTTTGCTCTGCTCCTTCACATGTTCCCATGCCCCGGGTGATGGTTCCGCGTGTGCTTGAGCTGGAGGGAACTGCATTGCAGCCCCCAGCACCGAGGGCCTGAACTATTTTAAAAAGTCCCACGAGAAAACAACAAGAAGTTGGCTTCATCTCCAGCGAGATTAGTGGCAGGCCCGCACCCCACCGCCCTCCGTACCCAGGACTGTTTGTTAGTTTAGTCCCCAAGAATAGGATTCCGGTGGCATCGTTGCTCTCTGCATTTGAGCAACCAGAGCACTTCTTCACCTCTGTGAACCCGAGGGGCTGGGGCCCTCTCCGCAGAGCGCAGGGCGCCCCTCAGCGCCCCGCTCAGCCTCCTACGTGAAGCAACAGCGTAGAAACGAGGGGAACAGAAGAGCCAGCGATTCTTCTTGCTTTTTATCCTTTCCTAGACTTAAACTTCTCCCTGTTATGGTCATATATTTCTTTCGAAACTAGAAAAATTGTTTAAAGATCTCAGAGAAATTACCGTGCAAAAGCCAGAGGGACCTTGTAGGCCAGCCGTCTCCTGTGTCTTAGCTGAGCAGTGGGGACAACTGCGACCATTTGCAAAGCAGGGAGAAGGAAGCAGAGTGGTTCTAGGCCGCGTGACACCAGCCACCTGTCGGGGGCGGGGCCGAGGGTAGCAGTCTGGGCTTTTGCCTGGGAACGTGTTCTGAAGGTCCTGGGCACCTCACTCCTTCCTCTTTGTACTAGTCACCAAACCACTCTTGAGATGATGAGTAGGGATGCTGAGTGGGCGAGTGAGGTGCGCAGAGGACTGGGGTGTGTCCCCTGCCTCCACCTGCTTTCCTCATCCACAGGACAGAGGGCTTGGTGGACTCCTTTTCTCAGGGACTGGAGAGGTTGTGTCCTGTCAGCGGCAGCGTCCTGCATGGCATTGAGCCGCGGCTGAAGGACTTCCATCAGCTTCTGCTCAGCCCGCCAAAGGTAGAGGACCTTGCACAGCTGTGGGCGGGTGCCTTTGGGGACATTGCAGGCTGAGGTGCTTTATTCCGGATGGGTGGATGCAAACGCTGCTATTGCCAGACGCTGAATGAGGACCAGCAGGCACATGCCAGAGGCCTGTTTGCAGACCCCCACCTGCTGAATGTCCGTCTGTCCTCTTAGGTGGAGCCTGGGAGTCGGACATTTTGTGGCATTCCCCCCACCCCTCATGACTCTTGGTTCTGAAATAGGGGGTCATCTGAGAGCCCAAGTTCATTGTTGGCCTGGTCTCTGAGTCACGAGCACCTAGCCAAGGGTCAGTGATCCCAGAGGAGGCCCTCTGCTCAGCTCAACAGCTCTGGACGGGTCACGCGGAGGATGGCTTGCTCCCACACCGCCACCCGGGACGGTCTCCCCCATCACAGTCCCCCGCCTTGGTACTTGCCCTTTGCACCCACTGTGATCTACTGAAGTATTTGATTCTGTAACATTCTGTTAACGAAAAGGTGGATGTATTATACCTATGCCGCATGTGCAGGATCAGAAAATACCTGCGTGCAGTCTGATGAGGCCGGCTGTCACCAGTCTCTTCCAAGAGTGTCATGGGGTGGCCCCGGAGCACTCTGGCCCCTTCTTACACGTCCCCTGCACTGAGCTGCACATCTCTTTGGCTGGCAGACTGCGAGTGTGCCCAGGGCTTCTCGGGGCAGCAGACCACTTATTCACTCCTCTGCGAGGCCCTGTGGGCAGCAGTGGAGTCTGAACCCTCAGGACCCCTCCTACTGCTGGCAGGATGCCTTGAGGAAGCCCCCCACCCCCCAGCCCCCACAGGTGGGGCCGTGGCCTGGAGCAGCAGCCCTGGCTGGCCCCAGAGCGATCGGCACCGAGCTCAGTGCATCGGCCATGCTGGGTGCAGGGCTGCAGCGGGCGGGGCCTCTGTGCTTGCAGAAGACCGCCATCCTGACCACCATCGGCGTGCTGGAGGAGCCCCTGGGGAACGCGCGCCTGCACGGCGCCCGCCTCATGGCCGCGCTGCTACACACGAACACGCCCAGCATCAACCGGGAGCTCTGCCGGCTCAACACCATGGGTCTGCTGCTGGTGAGTGGGCACTACTGCCAGCCCCGTGTGTCTGCCGCGGCGGGCGCACTGGCCAGGGCAGCAGGCCAGGCTGGCGCTGGAGCCCGTGCAGTCTGCAGGGACGCCAGGAGGCCTGACCGCACGCCGAGCGGCGGTGGCAGCGGTGGCAGCAGGACATGCCTCTGGACTGCGCGGAGAAACAGCAGAGGGCGGGGGTGTGTGTGTGGCCGTGCCCTTCTGCCGCTCTGCCTCAGAGAACTTCCTCTGCAGCTCTGTGTGAACGTCCCGAAGGAGAAGGAGCAGGAGCGGTGGTCCGCAGCGACGCCCCCGAGCTTTCTGTCAGACCAGGGGTGTGCCTGCTCTGCCCGTGCCTCCCGGCTGTCTGGGGGGTGCCCGGGGTCTGAGCAGGGGTCTGAGCAGGGGTCTGAGCAGGCTCCACTGCAGGGGGAGGGTGGTGGCGGCAGGGCCCCACCCTCAGCATACGACCCGGGGGTCCCCAGGCTCCTCTTTGGCCTTGCCCTTGGGCCTCTACTCCTAGGAAAGTGAAATCTCTTTAAATTTAAATCTCAGTCCCGGAAGGAGCCACCCTTGGAATTGGGCCTGGAGCGCTGACTGTCTCAGAAGTACTTCCAGCACTTGGAAGTTAGTTGACTCAGCTGGTGCTGTAAGATTCCAGCTCTGAATCAGCCCATTACAAAAGGCCTTCCAGTTTCTTCCCTTCAAAAAAATTCTCTCACCCTCCACTTTTTACTTTTATTGTGGTAAAAAAAAAAAAAAATCCATAACATAAAATTTACCGTTTTAATTATTTTTAAGTGTATAATTTAGTGGCAATACGTACATTCAGCTTATGGAACCATCATCACTGTCTCAAAACAAACACTGACCATTAAGCAATCGATCCCCATCGCCCTCCCCCAGCCCTTGGCACCCACCACCTGTTTGTTGTCTCTGAATTTGGCCACTCTAGGGACCTCGTGTAGGTAGAATCCTGTGGTACTTTGCCTTGTGTGTCTGGATTATCTCACTGAACATGAAGTCCTCAGGGCTTTCATCCATGTTCCGGTATGTCAGAGCGTCCTTTTTTATGGCTAATAGTCCGTTGCATAAATACACCACGTTGCTCATCAGTCGATAGGTACATGGGCTGCATCCACCTTTTGGCCATTTTGAGAAATGCTGCTATAAACATGGATGTGCAAATACCTGTTTGAATCTCCACTTCCACTTTGAGTCTGTACCCAGAAGTGAGGCTGATGAGTCATACTGTGATTCTGTGTTCAGCTTTTCCCACAGTGCCTACACCCCTTACGGTCCCTCTGGCAGTGTATCCACCCTTGCCAGTACTTGTTTTCCATTGTTTTAATAATCGCCATCATAATGGCTGTAAAGTGGTGTTTCGTGGTGGTTTTGGTCTGCATTTCTCTAATGATGAGTGCTATTGAGCATCTTTTGTGTGCTTTTGTCAGCCATTTGTGTATCTTCTTTGGACGACTGTCCAAGTCCTTTGTCCATCTTTGACTTGGCTTGTTCGGTTTTCTGGTTGCTGAGCTGTAGGAGTCTTTATATGTTTTGGACACTAAGCTTTTACCAGATGTATGGTCTCTCCCTGAGCATGAGGTCCTTGGGGCTCCCACCCACGTTGTGTTTCCACTGCCGACAGTGCCCTTTGACACAGAAGTTTTCAATTTGATGAAGTCTAGTTTACCTGTGTCACATCCAAGAAACCATTGCCAGCTCTACTGTCATGAAACTGTTGTGGCGCGAATGATTCTGAGACCCACGGAGCCAATTGAGATTAATTATGAGCCTTTATTAGCCGGCCGGCGACTGACTCTCTACCACGCAGGGCTAGAGGAGATCAGCCCCGAGCTTCCAGAGGAGGCAGCTTATAGAGCCTCCTACTACATCCTTGAATAAGCAGATTACAAGAAGCAGAAGTTAGTCGTTAATATTTTGTACAAAGATAAATGTATCCGGGGAACTCTCAGATCAAACAGGGCCTAGTGGACAGTTTTATTATTTTCACCTTGGAATGTTGCACTTCTCCTGGGGCTGGCACCTGGAGATATCGCCTCCCTGTGACTGAGTTACTGCTTGCACCTGGAGATACTGCCTCCCTGAAACTGGAGAATTTCCACTTTTACAAAACTTCCTCTTATTTTTTATTCTAAGAGTTTTCTGAGTTTAGCTCTATTGGTCTTTGATCCATTTTGAATCCATTTTTACATGTAACGTAAGGTAAGGGTCCAACTTCATTATTTTGTAAGTAGTAAGTTTAGAATTTGAGAAGTGTGAGTCAAGCTCTGTTCTTTCCCAAGATTATTTTGTCTCTTTGGGTCCCTCGTAATTCCATACGAATTTTAGGGTAGATTTCCTATTTCTTCAGAAAACGCCATCGGGATTTGGAGAGAGGTTGCGTTGAATCCGCAGAGGACGCCGGGTGCCCTGGCATCGCAGTCATGCCGTCTCCCAGGACGCGAACGCGGTGCCTTTCCATTGATGGGCGCCTCCTTCAATTTCCTTCAGCAGCGTCTTGTCGCTTTCTGTGTACGAGTCTTCCCCCTCCTTGGATAAACGTATTCCTAAGTATGTCATCTATCCTTTTCAATGGTATTACAAATGGGATCATCATCTTAGTTTCCTTTTGGGATGGTTCATTGTTAGCGTATAGAGATGCAACTGACTTGTGTGTTGGTTTTGTATCCTGCAACTTTACTGAATTCGTTTGCTAGCTCTCAAAGTGTTTTCACTAGATTCTTTAGGGTTTTCTACATATAAGGTCACGTCGGCTGCACATGGAGATACTTTAATTCTTCTCCAGTCTGAACCCCTTCCATTGCCCTGGCTAGCGTGCTCAGGCCTATGCCGAATGTCAAAAGTGGGCATCCTTGTCTTGTTCCTGATCCTACAGGTAACATTTTCAGTCCTTTACCACTGAGTATGGTGCTGGCCGTGGGCTTGTCATATGGCCTTGACCATGTAGAAGGAGTGCCCGGCCATTCCCAGTTGATTGAGCGCTTTTATCATGAAAAGGTGTTGGATTTTGTCAAATAATTTTTCGTATCAGTTGAGATGATTGTGTGGTTTTGTCCTTCATTCTTTTAATATGATCTGTATTACATTCATTGATTTTCATGCTGCACTGTCCTGTCTGTGCATTCCAGGAGCAAGTGCTACTTGGTCCTGGTGTGTAATCCGTTTAGAACGCTGCTGGATTCTGTTTGCAAGTATCTCGTTGAGGATTTTTGCTTCACTGCTCATGAAGGACATCGGCCATGTTTTCTTTTTTTGTGATGTCTTCATCTGGCTCTGGAGTCAGGGCAATGCTGGCTTCACAGAATGCATGGAAGAGTTTGGGATGGCTTGGTGGTGTTAATTCTTTAAATGTTTGGTAGAATTCACCAGTGAAGCCATCTGCTTTGGGCTTTTCTTTATTGGGAGGTGGGTCTGATTCTGTTGAAGACGAGGTAACACGGTGAAGGCGCCTGCAGGTTACCCAAGGTCACATAGGCAGAGAGGGTAAAGCCGAGGTTTGGGACTGTTTTATGGAGGAGGAGAGCTGCGCGGAGCAGGTGGGCTTCCTGCCTTTATCCTGTTACCAAGTCCGTGGCGTGAGGGAGGAGCCTGGACTTACACCTGGGTAGAGCTGCCTCGCCTCCCCACCTCACTGCCCTGCCTCCCACCCCGCGGCCCCGCCTCCCCCGTGAAGGCAGCAGAGGGTCTGGAACGCAGGCTGCTGTGGCTGCTGTTCTGTGTGAGGGGGTGGGGTGCAGGTGGGTGTGCCTGTCACCCCTCCCCACCAGCACCTCCCTGCCATCTTAAGGGGCCAGAGTTTCAGGGTCAGGTGCTGGTATGCCCCCTGGTCTGGCAGATGCTGTTGGGGGTGTTGTCCTCACTTGGCCTCCTCTGGCCTCAGCTTGTGCAGCCAAGGTCTGAGCCCCTCTGGGTCCCCTTGGGGAGTGTCCACATGTACACCTCTGGATTTCATATCTCCTGGATGGAATCCCCAGGTGGTCGAGAATTTAACACACTTCCAGTGATTCATGGATCAAAGACAAAATTGTCAAGGAAGAATGATAAAACCCTGCATAGTAAAATCTGTAGAAGTAGCTAACGTGCTTTTACTAGGAAGTATGTAGCCATTTAAAGACTGGGAAAGGAGAGAGGCCGAAGTGATTGAAGCTTCTACTCAGAGGCGAGGACAAACCCTCAGGATGAGGGTAGAGACTGACGAGACCAGCGACCGGCTGGAGGTGGGAGGGCAGGCTGCTCTGCCAGGGGCGACCTCAAGGAGATGCCCTCAGATGCCTGGCTGCCCAGACACTGCCCACCACGGTCCCCTCGCCTCTGGTCCTGCCCTCAGGGGAAAAGGAGTCTGAGGACTCTCCTCTGCCCTCTGTTTACCCAGGACCTGTTTTTTAAGTACACCTGGAATAACTTTCTGCACTTCCAAGTGGAACTGTGCATAGGCGCCATCCTCTCCCACGCCTCCCGCGAGGATGGGGCGGAAGCTGGCGGGCCCGAGAGCATGGCGGAGCCTCCGCCGGGGAACGGGCATCCAGAGACCCCCCAGTCCGCTGCCAGCCACCCCGAGAACACAATGGTGATGCACGTAAGTCCAGCCAGGGTCCAGTGTGTGGCATGCCGCTGCGTGCTGAGCCCCCCAGACCGTGTGGGGCTGCCCTGTCCTTCGCACATTCTTTGCTGATCCTCACGTGACATGGGTGTGCTGCCCTCCCTTTACCATGAGAGAGGAAATCACAGAGGGCCGCAGAGCTGCTGGGGCGGTGGGCGCGGCGGGGGGAGCCATCCCGCCTCGGTCTCGCCCGTTGTGACTGCAGCCCACGTGCTCCTTCCCGCCATGGCATCTGCTGCTGTGACGAGGCCCTGAGGGAGTGCAGATTCTCATGAGGAGACTCCGGTTCTGACCGTTTGAAACCACGTGCACACGTCCTCGACGTGACCCGTCTCCCCCTCCCCGGGACCTCCCTGCTCGCCTGTGGGCGCTTCGCACCGCGACCACCAGCAGGGCACCCACTCGCTTGCCCGCCGAGCCCACCTGGTCCAGGGGGTGCCGCCCCTTGGGCCTGACCAGTGCTGCCTGTCCCCCCAGCTGTTCCAGCAGTGCTGCCTGGTCCAGAGGATCCTGGAGGCCTGGGAAGCCAATGACCACACACAGTGAGACCCAGCGGGCCCCTGAGGGAGGGCACCTGAGGGCGTGGAGTGGGGGGCCCCGGCACCACCGCGAAGGTTTGGCTTCTAGGAAGGGGTCCTGCTACCAGGGAAGCAGCTGCCAGGGCTGCGGGCCGGACGGGCCAGCCCCGGGCCTGCGCCGTGGTCCTGTTCTCCTCTGCCTCCTCCTCTCCGCCCCCTTTGCCTGTCCTTTGGCAGGGGCCCCAGTCCTATCCCACACTGTGTCCCAGACCCTCCCACCTCCCCAGCCCGGCACCAGCCACATCTTTCTCTGAGCCCTCAAACCTTCAAAAGAGCTCCCAGGCCATGTCCTGCTTCCTTCCTGCCCTACCTGGCTTCTTGTCCCATGAGATGCTGGGCTCTTTCTGAAACAGATGATGTCACCCCTGCCTGAAAATCTTAACCACCCAGGTCCTCAGCGTGGCCCGCAGGGTCCAGTATAGGCAGTCCTTCCCCACTGCCTGCCCTCACTGTCCCCTGAATGCTGCTTCTGGGGGCGCTCTCACCTCCCTGGCTTATCCCTCACACCCTGCTGTTACTGAACCCACCGATTTGTGTTCGTCAGAACCGGCCGGCCCCCCGTCATCTGGGCCCAGTGCCTGGGGGATCCGGCGAGGCCCTGCCCTGAGCCTCCTCTGGCACATTCTGCCTGTTTGTGCACACGTGCCATTGCTGGGGAGGGCTCACTGCTGTCACTGAAGGTCCCTGAAGGTCCCTGATGCACGGCAGGTCATGGCCCTGGCCAGCCACAGGCCAGCTCTCCAGCACCCTGGACAGTGGCTCTTCTGCCTCCGTAGTCCTCCCGGCTCCACCTGTGGCTGTCCCCCCAGGCACCGTCCTGGTACCCTGACCCCTTCCTCGGTTGGCTGGGCTGTCTAGCCCAGGCACTCACCGTGGCTTCCTCTTCTGGGTGTTGGCAAGCCTTAGGGAGGGCGTTGGCAAGCAGGCTCTGCCCTCTGATACAAAGGCTGCATTTGTAGACGTGAGCTTCTGGCGCCTGAGGCCCTCCTGGTGGGCCACGTGTGTGCAGCCCAGAGCAGGATGCAGAGCCGTGTGCGCTTGGCAGTGTGGGGTGTCAAGGTGCACAGAAGCCAGGTAGCTTCTTGCACATAGAGCTCGCTGAGGGGGTGACTTGTGGGGCCAGAATGCCAGTGACAGGCTCGGCCCACGCTGGGTCTCACACAGCTGTTAGTGGCTCAGTCGGCACGCATAACGGGTGCGTCTGTTAGCGGCCGTGTCTTCTGCTGCAGTCCTGGGTGTTCCCTTGGGCAGGGGCTCTGGGGGCCAGGACAGCCTGGTGGCATCTGTCGAGTGGTGCTCGGTGTGGCGCGTGGAGCGTGAGCTCTGAGGCCCTGGGAGCCTTGGTTCTCTGGTTAGTGCCGTGGGGGCGGGAGTGAGTGGGGTGAGCAGCTGCCATGTGGCAAGTGCTCTTCAGAATCCAGTGTCCCGTAGGCGAGGCTGTGGGGACATGCTGTGGTGATGGGGGTGAGGTCCAGGGCCAGCAGCCGCCCTGATGGTGCCGGTCACCCCCAGGGCAGCAGGCGGCATGAGGCGTGGAAACATGGGCCACCTCACCCGGATCGCCAATGCGGTAGTGCGGAACCTGGAGGGCGGCCCCGCGCAGACCCCTGTCAGCGAGGTCATCCGAGGTGAGCCCTGCCTAGGCAGGACAGTGGCCCGCCTCCCCGGGAAAGGCCTCCACCGGTGTGGGCCTGGGCCCCGGGGGCCGTCGTGGGGGGCATTTGTGCAGCATCTCGGGGCCGGTGAGCACGTGGCCGGCTTCCAGAAGTTTGACGTCAGCGCTGCTGTGCATTCCAGCCCAAGTCCTGCCAGGACACCATGCTCTGCCCACAGTCCAGCACCCTTTGAATTCACATGGCCTTGGGGACCTTCCGAGCATGAGTATGGGGAGCCAGGGAGGCATGCTCTGCTTCCTAAGAGCAGGCCAAGTGCTGAGCCCTGCATGTTTCCAGCCGAGGCCAGCCCTCCCCTGGCCGGGCTGTACCTCTGCCCTCAGCCTGCCACCCCTTGCCTGGGGGCTGCCATCCATGACCCTTTCTGGCCCTCGCGTCCTGGGCATCGTCTGCAGCTCCCGGTCACAAACTTCATGAGCTGAGCTGGGAAGGGCCCTGGGGGTCTCAGTGCAGATGGGAGGGCAGGTGGCTCAGAAGAGCCGTGTGGCTTTGCTAGGGAGGAGGACACCCGGCCAGTCTGAGCAGTGCGCCCAGGGTGTTGAGGCACAGGCGCTCACAGCACGCTGGCCGGTGAGCTCGGAGGTGGCCAGGAGGTGGGGTGTGCACAAGTGAGTCGAGGAGGGGCTGGCGGTGATGACCCACAGAGGCCAGGACCCCGAGGGTGCTGAGGGCATTTCATGCCAGCCGAGATGTGTGGGCGCCTTGGGACAGAGCTGGCCAAGAGCATGGCGGACGCCTGCTCGGCGAACAGTGTTTGCACATAGGCGGGCGTTTGTGCTGTCCGCGGGGCCACCCGCACGGGGATCTGCCCTGGCCGCCTTCCCTCCTGGCAGCCCTCATGTCACCTCGGGGCCCTCCTGGACCTCCATGGTGGCACTCAGTGCCCTCGGGCTCACCAGGCACTCCTGCAGGGCTCCCCGCGGACTGCCGTGGGCGCTGGGAGAGCTTCGTGGAGGAGACGCTGACGGAGACCAACCGCAGGAACGCCGTGGACCTGGTAAGCAGGTGCGGGGTGGCGCCTGAGGCCCCGCCCGTCGTGTCAGCCCCAGCGTGGCCCGGCCAGGTGCGGGGCTCACGCCCACCCGCTCTGCTGTTACAGGTGAGCACCCACCACCTTCATCCCTCGAGTGAGGACGAGGACATGGAGGGCGTTTTCCCTAATGAGCTGTCCCTTCAGCAGGTGTGTGCAGCCAGGCTCAGCGCCCCAGCCAGGCCCCTCCTGCCCCACTGCCGGGAAGTGGGCTTGTCCACACCCCAGGGCCCCGGCCACGCCCCCTTGAGGAAGGGTAGACCTACCAAAGCCGCTCTCTGTGGCGGGACCCTTGGGGACATGGGGGATTGCACACTACACAAGGCTGTTTGGCGTGGCCCCGCGTGGTCGGGATGGGGGAGCCTCGAGGCTGGGGGGAGCCTCGAGGCTGAGGGCCGCCTGTGACTGCCTCCCCCAGGCGTTCTCCGAGTACCAGGTCCAGCAGATGACAGCCACCTTTGTGGATCAGTTTGGCTTCAATGACGAGGAGTTCGCAGACCAGGACGACAGCGTCAAGTGAGCCCATGCCACTGACACCGCGACCTCACTGTCCACCCTGCCAGCCCTTCTCCAGCAGGCACCTGCATCACTTGGGACCACCTCCCTCACAGTGTGACCCCCACTCGAGCCTGTTCTCGGTTCCTTTTGGGAAGGTTGGGTTCTGCCCAGTGTGACCGGGTCTCAGGGTATGACTCGGCCCTGCCTGTCCCTTCGGGCTGTCGCAACATTTTCTCAGCTGGAAGTCAAGTGTGACGGGCCTCACACAGCCACTGGGGGAGGGTTGGGCCGAGTGTGATCTTTAAGAGCCAGACGTCCTCAGGGAAGGCGGGTGGTCACTCGTGCAAAGTAGACAGAGAGCAGTGGGTGGGGTCAGCTCCAGGCCGCTCTGTCTGAAGATGCAAAGAGCAGGTGACGCGGGGAGCAGGTGTGGCGTCGCCCCAGCCCTCCCCTCCTCACACCTGCTCTGCCCGATGCCGCCAGGGGACGCGCATGCTCTGGACTGGGCTGCAGATGCCCTCGGGTCTCCGTGTTGCGTCACCTCCCCTTCCGTCCCCAGGGCCCCCAGCCTGGCCCCTCTAGCCTGGCCCCTCTCGGTGCATCACGGGACACTGCGTCCCTTGCGGGGTGGAGTCCCCCAAGGGGACGCGCCTCCGCAGTGAGGTCCTGAGTGTCAGCTGTTCTTTCAGTGCTCCATTCGACAGGATCGCAGAGATAAACTTCAACGTCGACGCCGACGAGGACAGCGTGAGTGCCCCGGCTCGGTGCTTGTTGGGTGGGGACTGGGGACACGCTTATGGGTGGGCAGCAGGGCGAGGGGCTGGTCTGTGGGTGCCTTGTGGGACACGCGGGCTCGGTCGCAGCCCAGCGCGGCTCTGTTTGAGGCCTGCTGCGGCGACCACATTCAGCCCTTTGATGACGAGGAGGACGATGACATCTGGGAGGACAAGGAGGCCCACTGCGCCGCCCGGGTAACCGCCAGAGCCAGGTTCCCACCCTCCCCGAGCTTCCCCCAGGAACGGGGGGCCCTGGGGTGGTGCCATGCCCTTGCTCTGACTGGTCTCCCCAGGTTTGGGGGCCCTCAGGCTTCAGAGAATGGCCTGGTGCCTGGAGTCCGGGACCCGGGGGAAGCAGACACCGCTGCAGCGCGGGCGGGGACCCCTCCAGCCACTGCCCAGAAGGACGGTCCCCGCATGGACTACGGATCGGAAGGTGGGTGCTGGGGAGCAGCGCAGGCTGGGTAGGAGACATGGGTCATGAAGAACTTGGTGGCCTGGCTTATGGGTAGCGGGGTCCCCATGGGCCTGACGCACACCCTTTCGAGCACATGGTCCCACAGCTGCAAGGACACAGGGTTGGTGGCGGATGGCTTTGGCTCAGTTCTCGACAGCCCCCCCGCAAGTCACACTGTCCACTGGTCCCACCCAGGAAGGCGTGCCTTCGCCTCTTGTGGGGCCTATCAGTTGTCTGGGCCTGAGCCACAGTGCCACCCCTGCAGGCCCCACATGGACGGTGTTTGATGATCCCGTGACCCCTCCGGCCCCAGCCCGAGGAGTGGCAATGGATGTGGGTTCCAGTGTGTGGGCGGACAGCACCCCAAGCACCTCGGCCCTGGAGGAGAAAGGCTGGGCCAAGTTTGCCGACTTCCAGCCTTTCTGCTGGTAAAGAGAGGGGCTGGGGGGTGGCCTTGTCCACTGTGGGGCAGCACGTCCCTGGCACGGGCTCAGCCTCGGCCTCGTCCACAGCTCCGAGTCGGGGCCCAGGTGCAGCTCCCCCGTGGACACAGGCCTCGGCAATACCCAAGGTGGCCTGCGCCAGGGCCTGGAGAGAGCCCGTGAGTAGGCGCAGCTCCCTGGGGACTGAGGGTGTAGCAGCGGGTGTGCCCAGCCCCAGGGTGAGTGGCAAGGCCAGTGCACCATCCCGGTGTGTGGGTCTGAAGGGCCTGCAGGATGGCCTGGCGGACAGGGCCTTCTCAACCCGGCAGTGTCCCCAGGTCTGGCCACCACGTTAGTGCGGTCACACCCGTGCACTGTGGTGCCTTAGTGGCAGTCACGGGCTTTTCAGAGTCTCTGACCCTGAGCCCCTTCAGATAGGCCTGGGAGCCCCTAGGGTGTCAGGCCACAAGTGGAGGGGCAGGGCTCGGAAGCCACAAGGCTGAGTTGGGGCCTTCTCTTCAGGGGGAGGACAGTCCTTTCACGTGGCAGGCGGCGTACCCGTTTCGCAAGCTGAAGCTCTTGCATGCCCATACGAGTCTGGGGGTCCCTGGATGTCACTGGGTCCCTGTCTTGCAGTTGGCCCTGCCTCCCCATGCGCTTGGAACGTGTGTGTCTCCAGGGACACCCCTCTGGTGGCCTCCGATAGTGAAGAGGATGAACAGAAGGCTGTCACCTCAGAAGCTGTCAGTACAGGGCCTGGCCAAGAGGTCCCCCTACTGCCCACGTCTGTCCCCAGGTGCACAGGGAGTCTAGCTGTCCCCAGCACTGTGCTCGCTTGGGAGCAGGCAGGCTCTATGGGGGAGGGACACCCACGGGTGGGGTGTGTCTTCCCTTGTGGGTGGTCATTGAGAGTGCACACAGGACTGTGTGCCAGCACCGCACCCAGCAGCCCTGTGCTGACCTGACAGCACAGCAGGGCCTGCGGGGTCGCCCCGGGTCAGGGGTCAGGGAGCTGGGCCTCTGACTGGCCTGGCACGAACTGTGTCCCAGATACGTGCCCATCCAAACCAGGAACGCTGGGCAGGCTTGTCACACCTGGGAGGACAGGGGTGCGAGTTCCTTTGATTAGGGTGTCCTCCCTACAGGCCTAGCCCCACACCCCCACCCACCCTCAGGAAGAAGGCCCAAGCCTCTGGGGTCCTGGCTGGGCTGGAGGTGGTGGGAACCAGGGAACAGGTGCAAGTGGGCTGGCGGGGACATCGAGAGAGGGGACCCCACCGTGAGGGGATGGGAACACAGAAGTGACCGTGCTGCTCACACGAAGCTGGGCGGGCTGTCACCTGGCAAGGCCCCACTCACCCCACCTTCGTTGGCCCCATGGGATTTTGGAGCTCCACGTGTCCCGTTGGTGGGGGTCCAGCACTGGCTCACAGCATGCTCGTTCTCAGGCCCCTAGACAGTAGGGCACTGAGACTTGTAGTGAGGGCCACCCCAGAGGAAGTGGGGCTGTGGCTGTTGGGAGAGGGCACATTGCCACCTAAGAGGGACACATGGGGCAGCAGGGCTCCCGGAGCGGGTGTACCGCAGGACACGTTCTGCAACAGCTGGGGGCTGTCTGGAGGGACCACACCTGGTGGGGCAGACCCAGGGTGAGCGCTGCTCCGTCCATGGAACTTGGGGTGGAGCCGCCCTGGGGGTGGCCCAGGTAACAAACCATGCCTGCCACATAGGGCCCAGCGCGCCACCAGCACACCACCCGATCCTGCCTCCCCTGCACCTGCAGAAGCCACCTTTGCCCTGGCCGTGGCTGTCCCCCCCGAGGCAGCCAGCACAGCCCTGAGCAAGGCCAGTCCTGTGCCAGTCTCCCCGGCAGTCTCTCCTGTTCTAGCCGTGGCCATCACCACTGCAGCCTCAGTCATGGCCAGCCCGGCCATCACCACGGTGGCCATCCTGGGGACAGTGACCAAGGACAGGTGAGCAGGATGGGCTAAGGAAGGAGGACTAGATGGGGACTCTTGGGCCCCAAGTGGCTCCAACCCCAACCCCTCTTCATTCAGGAAGGTGGATGTGCCAGCGCCTGCAGGAGCCACCTCCAACGGCCCCGTGTGACGCTGCTGCCACCCAGCCGTGGCACCCTAATTGAAAAAACTACCTGGTGATGCAATTTGTCTTTTTTAATTTAAAATAAATGCTGCATTGGTGAAGCTGGCAGTTGGACCCTGTCAACGGCCCAGCTTACGTCGCTCCTGCCTGACCCCATGCACAGCAGTAAGGCCTCGGGCATGCACTCTGCCCTCCAGAGCCGGGGCCGTGACCCCAAGATGTCACGAGGACTGTGGGTGTGATGGGCATGGACGCTGCAGGGTCCCAGACTGTTTTCCCCAATTTTTTAAATGCAGAAAGAGCCGTGTTTGCACTCTGGACCCAACTGCAGCAGAGGGTCCCCCTGGCTCTGGGGACAAGCGCATGTCTGGAGCTGGGCTGGCCTTGAGCCAGGCTGCAAAATTCGACTGCCTTAAAAAACAAGATCCTCACAGCCTGGCGGGGGCAACCCGGGCCTCGCGCTCTGGTGGTCTGGGGCTCCTGGCAGGAGCTGACCGTGGGCGTGGGGTGGGGGGTCTGCACCTGTGGGGACAGGGCTGCGTTGTCTTGGAGGGCCCACGGGATTGTTTGATGTGGAGTCTGGTTTTAATGTTCCGATCTGACAGGGCACCCCAACCCCCAATAAAGTTGTGTTCCTTGTACTGACAAGCCTGTGTTGTGTTGAGCCGCAGCCCTGGAGCCCCAGCCTGTCCAGCCACAGGGGGTCTGCCGCCCCGGGCCCGCCTTCCGGCCGCAGCTGAGAGTCTTAGCACCCAAGCAGACACTGGACTTTTTCTAAGAGAAGCTCCACCCGAAACGAGTCAAACACGAGAAGCCAGTGCTGTCCCAACAGGGCCACTCTGTCCTCACCAGTCACGTCAGAGGAGCAGCCGGAGGGCAGTGTGAGATGACACCTCACTGCCAGCAGGATCTGTCCCCGGGCAGTGGGTCCCCCAGCAGTGCCCCGGGCCCTCCTAGGAGCCCGGATCCTGCACTGACTTCCCCACCTGAAATCAACAGGCACAGGACCCCAGGCCTGGGTGCCCTGTCATGGCCCACCTGAGGCCACTCTGGGTCCTCTCCATGCCTGCACCTGTGTCCACACCTGCTGTCACCATGGGCTAGGCCCCCCACACCACCAGATTCTCTCTGCCGGGGAACCAGTGATCACCACCCCAGACTACCCAGGGATGTTCTCAGCCAGACGCCCACTCCCTGTCCCCCCCACCTTGCCTGCCAGCCCCCCAGGGGATGCCCTGTCCCTGCTGGGACTCGCATTCAAATAGGGAGTCACTGACCACGGTGGTGCGTGTCACACCCAAGGCAGCAGTGTCCCCAGAACTGAGGCCATCAGGGCTGTGCCACTGTCCACAGGGAAACAAACCTCCGTCCCAGTCCTCCAGCACCCTCGCTCCCCAGGCCGCACCCCCCTCCCAGACACCCTCCCACCTCCACCCCACCGACTGGTCTGACCAGAGCCCAAGTCCGCACGACGACGCCGTCCTGCAGCGGCTCCCACCCAGGCTGTCCTCCCCTCCGGAAGCGACTCCAACTTCAAAAACCAGGGGCTGCCCCAAGACCGCCAGAGGCCAGGGGTGGACGGGTGGCCAGCGCAAGTAGGGCCGCGGACGGCCTGGCACCAGCTCCCGGCCCTACGTGGTGGCGGCGGGACGGGCGGGGCGGCTGAGAAGACGCAGGCGCGTGGCACGTAGTTAGTTCTCTTTATAGACTCTGGTTCTAGGGCGGGCTGCCTGCGGCCGGCCGGGGCCAGCGCGCTGGCGGACGGGCTGGGCGAGTGGACTATTTACAGGCCCCCCGGGAGGGCTGTACCGTGGCCACCTCCCGGCCGGCGCGCGGCCACGACTCCGCAGTAAGTTCGAGCAAGTTCGAGCGGGCCGGGCGGGGGCGGGGCCGCAATACTGTCAGGGCGGGGCTGTAAACATGGCGGGGGGCCTGCCCACCCCGAGTGGTCTGCGAGGGCTGGACGCAGCCCGGGCGGGCCAGGCTCAGGCGTCCGACAGGCAGCCCTGAG